ACCCTTGTAAAAGTATTTTAAACTGTATAAAAAAAATTGAAATCAATTGTGAAAATCCATTCCTTATATAGGACGGTATCTCCTGTTGGTAAATAGAGATAAGTGCACACCCCCTCTCCCCTGCACTGCACAGTCATTTTTCATTCCCAACTATATAAAACTCCATCTCTAAGTGCACACCCATGACCTCCATGTGATCGTTGTCCAGTAAAAATTGTGCAACATTATAAAATTAAATAATTTTTCCTTGTACGTTAATTGATCATTTTATTAAGCGACAAGAAACTAAAAATTCTTTCTTTTAATAGATACAAAGGTTATTAGAACAAAGAACAAAGAAAGCAGACAGAGAAGCTTATGTAGTCGAAATTATTATAAATAAGTCATGAATCAAGAATTTTAATAACTAAACTCTTGTAACAAATTTTAAAAAATAAAAACTTTTATTATAAATTAACCTATATATTCTTATGTATCCAACCATCTAATTTTTGCACTCACACACATCTCATTAAAACATTTTATTCTTTTATTGCTTCTAAATAAAATGCCTCCAAAAAGTGAAGTAACTTTATCTAATTCTCAAAGATATGAATTTTGTTTATTTGCTGGCAATAACAAATTAACCAGAAAAGAATATGTTGATTGGATTGAACAAAAATGGGGAATTAAAGTGGTTGAAACAACTATAACAAGAATTCTGCAAAAAAAAAGAAGAAATACTTAATGCTGAAGTTACTAATCCAAATGCCAAAGGACTTAAAAATCTAACAGTTCCTGAACTTGAACTTGCTCTTAAGGAGTTTATTTTAATTTATCAAGACAGAGTAATCTTAAGTGATGCTATTTTACTTGAAAAAGCCAAGAAAATAGCAAATGGATTGGGGGTACCAGAAGGAACATTGGCTTTCTCTTCTGGATGGCTCCATAGATTTAAAAAACGGAATGGGATTCAAGTACGAAAGCTTCAAGGAGAGGCATCATCAGCTGATATAAATGCAATTACTGAAGCCTTACCATTATTGAAAAATATTTGTAGTAGTTATCCACCTGAAAGAATATACATCATGGACAAAACAGGTCTTTTTTATAGATTAGAACCAGCCACACAAAGACTTTCTGGATGTAAAAAGAATAAAGAAAGACTTTCAATTGCCTTATGTGCTAATTCAGATGGATCACATAAATTGGATCCATTAATA